CAGTTCTGCCCGGATAGAGTTCCCAACTTCTAAAGAGCCAGAGTAGATTAAGACAACCTCTCCAGCCTCATTCCTCAGTACACCTCCCATCCCAGAGGGACYYRGGTTACCYTGSCTASTCCCATCAAAATTCAGCTTCAAAGAACCAAGAGGAGGGGGGACCCAACTAGTCACTGCCCTTCCCTTGTAGGAGGAACAGCTTGCTACCAACTTTCAATCCTTCCAACAATCAGCAAAAGTAAAATGGTTAAATAATTCTAGAGTCTTTAACCAATGTAAAGACCTGGACAAAATGCAGTCCCTTAAGGTTTGACTGCTTCTTCCTCTTTCTTGGAAGATTCTAGCATTCCTTTCTTCCCATACTGTCCATAACAATGCTGCTCGTGAGCATCTCCACATTTTCCTTCCTCTTTTATGGGGCCAAGAGAAGAAAGAAGGGTTAAAGATTGTGCTTACTTCTACTAGCATATCCCAACTAGACCCAAACAAAGATAGAAGCCAAGCCCAGAGCTCTACAGTGACACTACAAGATAAAAATAGATGATTACAATCCTCACCATGAGATCTGCAAARAATGCACCAGTTTGGTGAAATACAAAGGACGGGTCTTCTCTTTTATAGGTTGTCCATCGTGTTTACTTTACCATGCCACACTTCCCAACACAAAGCCATAACCTTGGGGGGGACCGGCCTACACCAGACTTCTTTGAAAGGGAAACYCTGATGAGAGGGAGATTGGCAGAGGAACTTGAAAAAGGAACCACAAGAAAAAGACCTTTGGGGTGAATGGCCCAAATCCTTTTATCAGGTTTAGAGGGATCCAACCAAACCTTATCAAGGAGACATAGAAGAGTAGACAAACACTCAATTCTAACATTGGTTTTTGCACCATCATACATATCCTTAATTAGGTCCACATAACCACTTGGGACTCCTTTCTTTTCCAGAATCCACCATATTACCACTTTAGGGAGTATATATCATATGATCTCTCTAGATCAATGAAAACCGTATGAAGATCTCTCTTCTTCTCTCTAAACTTTTCTACCAATCATCTTAACAGAAAGATGGTTTCCATGGTTGATCTCCCTGGCATAAACCCAAACTGGTTTCCTAAAATATTTAAAGCAACAGTATAAATACAATAAAATACAAACATATTATATATTATTTCAAATAATAAGAGATATAAACAAACAAAAAGCTTTAAAACAATTTTGTGGATAACTAGTTAACCTAGTTGATGATTAGTGGCCCTAGGAGCCCACATCATGAGTATCAACAAACTAGTCACTGATGCAGCGATCTGGCCCTCAACAGACCAGACAGTCCATTAGTGGACGCTTTGGTAACACTTGTATCATCTTGAGCAGTTGAGCTAAATGGAATAAAAAACTGCGCTACCTTGATTTCTCTTAGACCTAGAATGTCGGTGTTATTTCTTATCGTGCATCATGAATCACATAACTCATCAAAATAGATCAAAGGGATCTACGACAATGGTGGCAATAATCAAAGAGAAAAACATATAAAACAATGAAAATGAGACCACAGAAATGGAATATGCTAACCCGTATTTCGCCTGTTCATTACAATAAACTGAAATCGAGGCTGAGTATTCCTGTATCAACAGCAACGACCACATAATTATATAACAAAAGAACAAGAACAAGAAGACAACGACGACGACGATGATGAGGATAAGGAGGAGAAGCTATGGGAGTCACAAAATGATCAATCTCAAAATATTTATCAAAAAAAAAAATGATCAATCTCAAAAAGAAGAATCAGAATCCGCACCTATTCCAAGTATGAAAATGCCAAAATCTTATTCCTACAAAACACTTCCTTAAGAACGCTAATTAAGAACACTAAACTGTTACCTTTTAACGACGAAGAGAGATCCCTCAACATCCTTGCGACTCTGCAAGTGAATCAGAAGAAGTGAATCAGAGAGCGAAAACCAATCTAGTAATAAAAATAAGGGAAAATCAAAACAAGAAATTCTTTACAAACCCATTGATTGAGCTCAATGTTGAATTCGTAGAAGGTGACATGAGCTGCAGTAATCAAAATCTCTTCCACGAAGGGATCGATCCTCTGAAGCACCGTGAGATTAAGAACTTTGGTGCTTTGTTGATCGAGATTGGGCATCAATTTCCCGTTCTGAGACATTCTCGCACGGTGGGATTCAGAACCCTAACTCTTACCGGAACTGGAAAACAATAAGCTCTTCTCACATGAGCTCGAGGTCGGTTAATTCTCACCTGGACAGAAAAGGTATTACAAATTTACAATGGTTTTATTTTTCGGGGACGAGTATGCTGGGCGTGTCGTCTAGTAAAGAAATGACCTATAATCTACCACGTGGCAACCTTATGATATCGTCTACTACAATCCTAGTATCCTACTTGTGATGTTGGGCCAATCACCGTGAGTTGAGATCTGTTCTTCACAGAGCGCCTCACACCAACCTCACAGATACATCACACTCTAAATTGGGAGCATCTCTCGGGAGATGTTTTCGATGTGCGGCTAAGATATGCTGTGAAATCGATGTGAGGCACTAACCGTAATTAGCAGATCTGGACTCTAATCATCATACTGTCCATACAGGTCAGTTCCATACACTGTGTCTGACACGCCATGCTGATGTGGGATGTCACGATCGGCTCTAAATACTGATCAGATTGAGAAACAAGATGCAACAATGGAGTTCGAATGTTCCCCCACCCCACCGAAGTTGCGCTCACAAAAGTCCCACGGCATATTGTGATGCCGCGTGTCTTCACACATCCGAGTACCTCTCTCACACAGCCGTAAACTCCCATTTTGCCCAAAAAGCCAGTTCGATCCCATCTCTCACCCTTTTCTTTGGAATTTCAGCCTCTCACCGGAACTCTCAACCTTCGCTCCCTGAAATCCGTTCGAGATCGCCGGAACTTGCCGAGTTCCATCTTCACTCTCATATCTGACATTCTTAGATCCGTTTATCTCAATTCTTTTAATTTGTTTTTTCCAATAGAAAAAAACATAGAGGATGCGTACTCCCCATTTTAATAGATACATGTGCGGTGATGCCGTGGAGATGAAAACGCACCATCAAAGCTCGTCGAGTATGCACCGTGCGGTGATGTCAGATCTAAGAGTGAAGATGGAAACGCATCGTCGGTTGGCTATCTGCTAAAACGAACTCAACAAGCTCTAGCGATCTTCGATGGGTTTTAAAAAGTGTGTTGAATTTTAATCTCAATAGAGATTAAATCCAATAGAGTTTGATTAATAAATTACATAAAAATCAAACTTATACATATTTATGAAAATAGTTTTTTCTCTTACTAAAACTAATTTTCAATTTATCTCACGTTCGGAAATTACAAAACTTGTTTTAAGTTTTTACAATAATTTAAAATTGTCTTTGAATTCGACAAACTAATCATGTCCAAGAAATGTTTATTGGAAAATGATATAGTTGTAATGGTATGTTCAAATCGAATATTAATGAAGGAAAAGAATATACTTATATTGTTGATTCTTTCTCTTTATAGCATGATAGATTAACACACTTGAATTTTAAATCCATAAAAACATGAATAACTTGGTTTAATTACTTGTAATAATGAATTAAATGAAAAATGTGAGATATGTGTAAAATCTAAAATAGCCAATAAACATTTCCTAAGTGTTAAGATAAATACTCAACTTCTACAACTAATTCATTTTGACATCTGTGAACTTAATGGTATATTAACTAGAGGATATAAGAAACATTTCATAACATTTATTGATGATTTTTCAAAATACACCTATATCTACCTTATGAGAACTAAGGATGAACATTTGACATGTTTAAACTATACAAATATGAAGTTGAAAATCAATTGGAAAAGAAAATTAAAATCCTTCGAAGTGATAAGGGTGCTAAGTACTTTAAGAATGAATTAGTTCTTTATGTGATGAATTTGGAATAATACATCAAAGTTCTGCTCCCTATACCCCTCAATAGAATGGCCTGGCGAAAGGAAAAACATAATACATAAAGAAATGATAAATTGTATGCTGATGAAAGCTAATGCACCATTAAACCTGTGGAGGGAAGTACTCCTAACAGCTTGCTATTTACATAACATAATTGTTTCTACAGTTAATAATAAGTGTCCATATGAATTATGGATAGGAAGAAAGTCTAACTTAATATACCTAAAAGTGTGGGGGTGCTTAACATATTACAGAGTTCATACCATAAAAGAACCAAGCTATGACTCAAAGCAAAAAGAAGCATGTTTGTTGGATATGAAGAACATAGCAAGGCCTATAAACTTATAGATTTAGAGTCCAACATAATAATTGAAAGTAGAGATGTTGAATTATTTGAAAATAAATTATGTTATAAATCCACAGAAAATAATAGAGAAGTATGAAGATAAATTCATATCTCAATACCTATTGGTAACAATGAGACTTAAAGAAGAAACAACACAACTATAACACCTATAATAAAACCTAGAATAAGTCAAAGACAAATAATAGAGAAACACTTAAGTTATGACTTTATCTCTACTCAGTCGATTGTATTATTGGTTGAGGCTAATAGAGAAAATATTTTAAATAAGATATCCATTGTATTAAACATTAAAAATGATTCGATGACCTACAATGAGACCGTGACCTCTAGATATGTTGCCTTTTGGAATGAAGCTATAACTGATGAAATTGATTCAATAATGTCAAATAACACATGGGTACTAGTGGAGTTGCCTCTATGATCAAAATCAATCAAATGTAAAAGGTGTTTAGAAGAAAATACAATACTGATGAATTTGTACAAATTTTTAAGGGTGGTTTTGACTTTTAATGCGAGGCTGACCATTGATGTTTCAATGGTCACGATTCGATCAAGGTAATCAGGAGGCACTATTCAAAATTAACAGTCATTAATTGTTAACTACCTTTTTAACAACTACAATGTTTGAAATTGTGACTATTCAATGAGCATTTTTTTAGCTAGCACATTCTTTTGCTTCATTACTCTTCAAAAATTATTTAAGGAGTGTGAATCAATCAAATGCACATACAAGCTTTTTGAAAATCAAATTTATCTCTATCTGTTTGATTTGCTATTATTTTGCAAAAGGTTTTTTCGAAGAATCTTCAACTTTGCTAGTTGTAAATTCTCGTCTAAGGCTATGTTGTATCCTGAGAACGGATTTGCCTGTAACCCAACAGCAAAATCAGTGGAACTGAGTGGAGGCGAATAACATTCTAAAGATAGTGTCTTCAGACATGCATCAGAGCTTATCCTCCAAGTTTCAGTGACCTCAATTCCCAATAGAGCGGAGATCGAGAGTTCTAGTGAAAGGCTGAGATTCGAGAGAGAAGAGTGAGATATGGGTTTGAACTAGCTTTTTGGGCAAAATGGGGGCTAATGGGATGAGCTAACGACCGCCCTATTAGCTTCACATGAGGGAGAGGTGCCTGGGTGTATGGGGACATGTGACATCTTGTGATGTCGTGGGACGTTTTTGGGGCGCAACTTTTTGGGGGGCAAATTCGAACATGCATCATTGACATACATTTAACACGTTGCTAAGATAAAGTTGGTCTTGCCTTACAAAAAATGGGTATAACCCAACTTGGGTGTAAAAAAACCCTGAGCAAATTAATTGAACCTAGCAGCAAGGTTCAAAAACTTCTAGACCCAATAGGCCCAAGCCCATGTAGATCTGGCCTGGACCTATATTTAAATGATGGTGTCCCAGTTAGGCCAGACCAAGCCTTAATGGTATGTTTGGTTGCTGTGATGGGGAAGGGAAAAATGGGAATATTCCCATAAGATTATGGTTTTCCAATATTTGTTCAAAGGGATGGGAAGGGAAACATGTGGGACACAGGTTCCCAAAATTGATGAAACGAGGTTGTGTTGATTTGGTGCGACCCCAGTGCAAAAGGAAACTTCTAAGAAAAAAGATCCAGCTCTTCCTCCTGCTCTCTTTCTATACAACCCTCACTACGAACATGGGTCAACAACAGTCTTCTCACCGGCGCTGCTATCGTTGATCTCCAGACAAGGTGCGATCATGAACATGACCACCGACGATCGGCTGGTATTTTTTACACTATTTTTTTAGCCATCGAGCTCCGCTTGTTGGCAGGAAGAAATGGCTTCTCTCTGGCTAAAATCCATTCTTACTGACATGTAACCTTGATTGTTTCTACAGATCTACACTTCTATCTTGTAGATCTAACATTTATTTTTTTGTGTTTTTAACTTGTAGGGTCCAAATCTCCTTGCTCACTCGTATAAAGGTAAGATATCCTAACTTTTTTCAAATCCAAAATGATGAACGATTGTTATAGATCTACCGTAAGCTCTATATTCTTTTTCGATTTTGTGGTCATTTTTTTCAATATGGTACATTCTCAATAAACAAACGCAGGAAACTGGTTATTTAGCATATTGTTTCTCGGGCAACAAACACAGGATGCAAATCTAAGAAAAAATATTTTCTCATCCCATCCTTTATAGTCGCATCCTTCCTCGGCAACCAAACGTACCATAAGCATCTCAAATCAGCTTCTATACCAGAATTTTAAGTTTTTTTTGGTAATCATGTGAGTGGATATCAATTGGTCGCGACAATCCCTTACATCTCCCCAATGAAACATGAGAATGTCAGCGAGGGAAATTCTTTTTTAAAGTCTATGTAATGTTATGGATTTATTTTCATTGTTGATATGCCCATTTTTCATTGGGCTCAAGGGATTGTTGGGAGCACATATATACCCTTCCCAACGAGTTTACCGAAAAAACATCAACCCAATGAGATAACAACTAATGGAAAGGGACAAACCAACAATAATAACTTGTATTGACTAAATGATAGTTCAAACAATCAAACTAGAGTGCTCGTCAAATGTAGTTTTTACAAGGTGTGGTTTGTTTGGATCTATTGGCCCCATTGTGGTGTAGTTGAATTACATAGTTTAACCACCAACAAAAAAAATTTACATGGTTTAATCATACCACACTCCACAAGATTTTATGCTTTGTAGTTGCAATGTTTTAAAAATTGGTCGAACTGTTTTTGCCTTTGATTATGGATCAAACCGTACCACATTAGTAATATGTAAATACATGTATATGTATAAACATATATTTTTATTAATAAATGATGTATATTTATGTTCCACATTGTAATATATGTATTATTTTATATTTTATTTATTTTTAATCCAATTTTTATTTTTTATTTGTAAAAAAATATTAAAATTTGCAATTTGATGCCTAAA